CGGGGAGATAGCTCAGTAGAATAAGTGCTTTCCTGGCAAGCATAAGGACCTGAGTTCAATCCCCGGTTCCACAAAAAAAGAAAGAAAGAAAAAAAGAAATCAACTCTCTACTATATGTGATAGTATTCTATCTGATTTCATTAAGAAAAATGTAACTTATGACCTACAGCACCAATTTCATAGTCCATATTTTGAAAATCTACAGTAACTTAATTGAACTTGATGGAAAAGTTAATGAAAACCTGACCAAAAATTCTGACATGTTATTTAAAAATAATAAACGCAAGCTTTTTCAGTCTAGAGTCAAATCTTCCAGAGACTGTATTCTTTGTGGCAAGATTGTGTTGTCTTGGCTCATCTACGTGGCTATCGGAGACATCAATGAATACACCACACAATCATCATGTAAACCCCATACCTTAATGTTAGAAAACCATAAGTCGTTCTCGTGCAAGGTGGCAAGGTAGACAGATGTAAGAAGTCCAACCCCAAGGGCAGTGCTCCCACCAACTGTAAATGACAGGATCTTCCAAAATCTTCCGCTGGTGCCACCTTTGAGAAAGGGGAAACATAAACAATCGAGTGAAAATTTCAGAACTTCACAGTTCTGTTCCAGGCTATCAAGTAAACTAAGTTTCAGCTACTCGAAACTTGCCCTGTCCCTCAGCAGATAGCTTGTCTGCCTGTCTGTCTCTGTCTTGTCTGTCTGTCTGCCTATGTCTGTCGCTCTCTCATACTGGGGATTGAACTCAAGGCTTTACACTGCACAGTACTCTTGTCCTTTTTTTTTGGAGTCACAGTCTCACAAAGTTGCTACGTTACCTGATCTGAGCTCAGACTTGCAATCCTCCTGCCTTCGCCTCCAGGTCTAGAATTACAGGCATGTGCCACCAGACCCAGCTTCTCTCTTACTTTTCCTGGAGACAGAATGTTGCTATGTGGTCAGAATGGTCATGAACTCCTGGGCTCAAGCAATCTTCCTGTCTCAGCTTCTCCAGTCATTGGAACTACAGTAAGCACCACTATACTCACCTTGTTTGTAGCTCTTATTAATTTTTACTCCAGTGTTCCTAACCCTTCTTTTGTTCATTCTGCCAATCAGAATATGAGCCCCTCAAGGACAAGTACATTGTCTTATTCTCCTTTAATACTGGCATACCTGAACAACTAGACTTTATAAAGTTTGCTAATAAAAGAATAAATGGGCTATTAAGTCTAAGAGGTGAGGACTCTTTTAAATGACTTACTGATAATCTGTGGTTTATGCGTTAAAAGTTACCAAAATCTTAATTATTTAAAAAAAACCATAGGAAAAATATATACTAATTAAAAGGATATGTAAACCAGTAAAAATATTTATAGTATAAATGAGAGCTTAAATATTTTCAATATAGGATACTTTCAAAATAATAAACAATGGTGAATATCCCAGTAAGAAACAGGTTAAGGGCATAAACAGGCAACACATAGAAGAAAAAATGATCAATAAATGTAACAGAAGATATGATATTCAAATCCATTCAAATCCACTAATCCAAAAAAATCCCAATCGGGGCTGGAGAGATGGCTCAGTGGTCTAAAGCACCTACTTGAAACAAGTTTGGCAAAGCACAGGGACCGCGGTTCAATCC